GGTTACAGTTACTCTGGTACCTAAACCACACAAAGACACAACTCAGAAGGAGAATTACAGACCAATATCCCTCATAAACACTGTTGTAAAATAATAAATACTGGCAAACTGAATCCAAGAAAACACCAGAAAAATCATCCACCATGATCAAGTAGGTTTCATCCTAGAGTTGCAGGGATGGTTCAAACTAGGACAATCTGTTGATGTAATCCACAATATATATAATCTCCCATATTAAAAAATTGAAAAACTGATCATCTTATTAGATGCAGAAGAAAAACCTTCAACAAAATTTAACACCCCTTCATGATAAAGGTCTTGAAGAGAGCAGTGATACAAAGAATGTACCTAAACATAATAAAGGCAATATACAGCAAGCTAACAGTTAACATCAAACTAAATGGAGAGAAACTCAAAAGTGATTCCACTGTATCAGGAGCAAGGCAAGACTGTTCTCTTTCTTCATATCTATTTAAAATTGTACTTGAAGTTCTAGCTAGAGCAATAAGAAAATAAAAGGAGATCAAGGGGACACAAATTGAAAAGGATGAAGTCAAACTTTCACTACTTGCAGATGATATGATAGTTTACACAAGTGACCTGAAATATAAAATTATATCAGTTTGTTTGTTTTTGAGACAGAATTTCTCTGTGTAACCCTGGCTTTCCTGGAACTAACTCTGTAGACCAAGCTATCTTTGAACTCGCAGAGATCTACCTGCCTCTCCGTCCCAAGTGCTGGGAATAAAGGTGTGTGCCACTACTGTCCAGATAAGCATTTACTTTTATTCTTTTCCTTCTGATATTTCCTAGTCCTATTTCCTTGTACTAATCACCATCTATACTTATCTGAATTGTTTTACTTACTTTTTCTTCAATTTTCTTCCATGTAAGATTTAAGCTTGATGAGAGAAAGAGAAAGAACTTTTGCTGTTATTTTGTTTTGTTTTTTCTGTCTCCCTCTCCTTTCCCTACCCCTCTCTCTCTCTGTGTCTCTCTCTCTGTCTACTTCTCTCTCTGTCTCTCCCTCTGTCTCTCTCTGTCTCTGTCTCTCTCTCCCTCTCTCTCTCTCTCTCTCTCTCTCTCTCTCTCTCTCTGTGTGTGTGTGTGTGTGTGTGTGTGTGTGTGTGTTTGGTTCTGAGAATGGTAATGGATGTGTTTTGGATACTTGACAAACATGAAATTTAAGAATGAATATGAAGCAGGGCCAAAACTGTGAAATTATACATTTCATTTCATTTGTGCCAGAGATTCCAGCTCCTGATCTTGTAGAGCTGCATGAATGATTCCTTCAACAAGAAGATCACAACAGGCAACAGCTCTGAGTCCTTCCTGACGAGCCCTCCCTGCCTCCCTTGTCTTCCTCTGCTGCAGAGCTCTTCTGCATCAGTTGTGCTATCCAGTCTCTTTCAGTGCTCAGGATTTCTCCAGATGCCATGGAAGGAACACAGAACACGCCTTTGTTTTCCTATCCATCTCCTTAAAATTACAAATTACAACCTGGAAATGAATCTGTCTTGTTGATCTTTGTTTGTTTTTGAAAACATGGCTTCACAAGCACAATAGAAGACATCCACCCACACTCACTCTTACATGATACAGATGCCACCATGTTTTCATACTTAGTAGTAGCAGGTTGATTGAGTATGCCCAACTGAACTCTTATGGCCAAGCAGGACGCATTAAGTGTCCTCTGTTTACATTGTCCTACAAGAGACACTCTGTTTCCTCTTTCTACTCTCTATGGTCCTTTCTTCTTGTTCATTACCCTTTCCTCCTGCATTTCATTCTGCCTCATTTTCTCCTTCTTTTTAGTCTAATGGTGGTTTCTTGGCAGTGGCATATTTGTTGACTTGCTCTGTTGGTTACATCTTGTTTTAATAAGGAAATATTTCTCTTGGTGTCTCCTTGCCTAGGGCTGTGCTTACTTAAAGTGTAAAATTTTAAACTCTATAAAGGATGACAATAACCCTCTGGGTAAAGAAGAATTATCCTCTGTATTATTAATCACTTAAGTAATAGACAAGAAACACCAGCCATCTCAAAGAAACACAGATTGGAATTACCTATGTTTTAGATATCCTTCATTCCCTTCCTTTAAGATTGTAAATCTTTGCATCACTAATCACCATGTCAAAGGTCAAGAGAAGTAGTCATGGATCAAAAAGGTCTCTTGTAACACCGGTGCTGGCCCTAGTAGCTGTTGAAGCTTGATTGTAACCACTGAGAATCATATCAGCTCAGAAGACATGGGAGTATTCCTTAGCAGTGATTTGAGACTGGTTTCAGCTGTTAGTGTCACAGTCTGTGATGTGGATGAGGGGATATGGGAATAGACAGGTGGTCACATTCTGACCTTTCCTCCAGCTTGACTAGCAAAGATGGCATTCCCAACTGTCCTGGCTTAATGTCCCTTAAAAACCACAGTAGCTTGACCCTGGAGATGCTGCAGAGAACTGTAGCTTGCAGTTTAATAGACTTGAAAAACTGGGCCTAATGATACTTTACAAGGTCCTGATCTTTCTGGACTGTTACACAAGCATGAAGAAGTGTGCAGAGGCCGGTATCTTGGTTTGTACTACAGTTGACTGAAAAATGATCACAGATTTATTCCACAATAAAAGACTCTGACTTCCAACACTTTTGTGTCTGGCATATACATACCCAAATGCAGGAGTATTCCTTATGTAAACTATGAAAACAATTGACACCATCCCACAGAACACTAGTAACACAGCTTCTCAAACTCCATATTGGTTGAACTGTAAGAGTTTTTTTTTGTGTGTCACGCACTGGTAGTTAGTTATACTATTCTGGGGGTTCCCCCCAACCAAATTATGAGTTTCTGGTTATCTTGCTGTACTGTAAAAACAAACAAAAATAATGTAAAGCTTCCCAAGGAGTCATTGCATTCAAATGGAAAGATATACATTTGGTTTTTTTGAAATAGGGTTTCTCTGTGTAGCCCTGGCTGTCCTGGAATTCACTCTGTAGACAAGGATGGCCTCAGACTCAAAGATCTGCTTGCCTTTTCCTCCTGAGCACCAGCAATAAAGATGTGTGTCATCATGCCTGGCTGTTTTATAAAAAAAAGGTTTTAATGCTGTACTTCCATGATCATTTATGTTATGTATAATTTTATTTTATCATTATAATATTATTCTGTCTTATTCAAAACAAACAGTTAACATATAGAGTACAGTTTATTTTAGATGGAGATTTTTAGAAAAAATATTGAATTCAAAGTACCATGGGTCAGTTCAAAGCTGATGGGACAAACATGATGGGGAGGATGGTCAAGTCACTTTTGGAATTCAGTAGGACTTTATGATAGGCAATTTGAAGTCTAAGTCTTGGCAGGAGCTTCAAATTTCATGTAGTTACCAAGCTTCATGATGTTCTACAGCTGGGTGTATAGAAACAGCATTCAGTGGCAGCTATCTTGGACATTTTGGGATGACACAACAAATTGCCACAGACTAAGTTTAGATGACTTAAAAGTGTGTCACTGTGGTTGCAAAAAAACCTTCGAAGCTCTGGGATCTGAATGCCTTCCTGCAAAGCAGTCATTATACTATGAGTTTTGTATCAGCACTGGTGACAAACTCTTTAGTTTTAAAAGTTGTTTTTAAATTCCCAGTGTAATATAAGATACAGATTTCTGAGTTCTGAATTTGTAAGGTTCCATTTGGAACTAGGATAAGCAGTCAAAGAACATTTTTTTAACTTAACAAAAAATTATTGCATATATCACCAGTCAAGAATCACACAAGTATTTCTACCTTCTAACCTCATGTCTTATGAATTATGAACATTTAAATAAATACTTTAGAAGGCTCTACAATGCACCAAAGCAAGGTGACTTGAATAAGGCTGGGAAATCAATGACTCATCAACTAGTCATTTATGGTCACATGTAAAGTTCATTATAAATGGAAGCATCTAGCTACTTTCTTTCTTTTACCTTTCCCAAACAGTTCAAAATGGCTTGTGGTACTATAAGTAACATATATGTGAAAATTTGATTTCAACTGAAATTCTTGCACCATGTGAAACCAAGGGTCACACATATCCTCTCCCACCATTCTCACCAGTTTTAGTTATGGTGGTTCAGAAACTTGTTTTGCTATCTTTGAGTAATTATTTAAATTAGAACTAATCCATCAGAGTTTCTTTGATTTCACAATGTTGTGAGCTACAATTCATGTTGGCATTCCTGACACGTTTAGTTTTAGCATCTTAAGAAAGTATAAATACAGACGATCATCTACAGAACAATTTCCATACACCATACCAAAAGCCACTAACAATCCTTCAGAAAGTCAGAAAACCACAATTGCTTAAGCTTAAATTAACTATAAACTAAGATTTATATTCAGGAAAATGGGTGAGGTTAGCTCTTTCTGCCAGGCAACTAGGTGGCCAGTGTTTATGTAGTGATATTTTGTTTGTGATCTAACAAATAGAGCTTGCCTGAAGATCAGAGGGCAGAGCTAGCCACACCTGTTAGCCACAGAGACCAGGCAATACTGGAACACACCTTTAATCCCAGCACTTGGGAAGCAGAGGCAGGTTCGATCTCTGTGAGTTCAAGGTCACCCTGGGCTACATGAAATTGATACAGTCTAAAAGAGAGACAGAGTCGGTCTGATGTGGCTCACACCTTTAATCTCAGTACTCAGAGGTCACATGCCTTTAATCCCAGTACTAGGGAGGTAGAGACAGGAGTGATATGGCTGGGCGGAGAGAGGGGTATAAGGCAAGAGGAGACAGTAGCTCAATGCATTCAGTCTGAGGGTTTGTAGGACAGGATTACTCTTTTGGCCTGAGGATAGAGGTAAGAGGTTCTCTTGACTGGCTCCTTTACTTCTCTGACTATTCAGCATTTGCCCCAAAATCTAATGAGAGAATTTCAGTTATATACAGAATGCCATGCAACTTCCTGTATGATATTTCTACTTTAGTGATTCATCTATATACCTATGATTGTGTCTATACAGTCAAGAAAGGTGGAAAACCATGGCTACTATCCCAGCAAATCGGGCCAAGCTACAGGTACCATTGTTTTTGCTTTCCCTCCGTCCCTCTCTCCCTCCCTTCCTCCTTCCCTCCTTCCCTCCCTCCCTTACTCCCTCCCTCTCTCCCTCCCTCCCTCCTTCCCTCCCTCCCTTATCCCTTCCTCCTTCCTTCCCTCCCTTACTCCCTCCCTCTCTCCCTCCATCTCTCCCTCCCTCCCTCCATTTGTCTCTTTCTTTCCTAGATAAGAGAGCTGGTGTTCAGAGGAAGTGATATTACCTTGATCACCTCTATAAGTTACGTTTTGGTCCTGGTGGTGTCAGTGGTCAGGAAGTGACACAATACCGATTGGGTGGTAGAATATGACAAGACCAGGGACTTAATGAGACATAAAAATACAGGTGGAAGGAATGTAATTCATTCATTTATGAATTCTACTCAAGGTTCATTATATTTGTAAAGGCTTCTTAGATAATGAGGAAATAAATGCAGAAGTTCAAGCAAGTACCCCTCACATGATAAAATACAATTGGTAAATTTCCCTTCTTTTGATAAACATATTGGGAACATCCTCTACTGGACAATGAAGACAAAACAAGTGAGATCACCTCTTTCCTAAAGAAATTTAGAGACTTGGTTGGCGGAGAAGGAAACCAAATTACTTTGGACATTGTTACCAGCCAAATACAAAATACAAAATCTCCCATTTTCCCAATGAAAGAGTGAACTTTCAAGGCACACAGAGAAGCAGTGAAGACCGGCCTTCAACAGCAAAACATCACTATTTTCTGTATTTCCTAGAGAACTGTTTACCAATATTGAACTGATAGCCCCCACTAGATGGTCCTGTGTGTGTGTGTGTGTGTGTGTGTGCATGCATTCTGAGTACAAAAGCTACTATTGTAGGGACATAGTAAAGGTTTTCAAAACCTATGTAGATAGCTTTTAGGAAAGGTAGATTCAGTGAAGATCATACTGGTATGTGTTGAGTACCCCAAGCTATCAAGTAAATTCCTATTCTATTTCACTAAATACAGATGCAATCTATTCAGAAGTATTATGGTAAGAAACAATAGAACTGCATGCTCAGCTAGAGGAGTCTAGTGTTGCTGAGTTCTCAAATACTCATGCATTTCTGTTGGTCACTAGCCAACTGCTTGGAAAACCCATCTCTCTTGTCCTGTATTTTTTGACTGGTGCCCCTCAAATGTCAAATAAGCTATCTACAATTTCGAACTACATAGTATCTCCAAGAAATAAATGTGTGTGTGTGTGTGTGTGTGTGTGTGTGTGTTTGTGTGCTCAGTACACATGTGTGGGGTATTTTTCCTGGCAAAAAAATGTCAGGATCTGTTTAAGCCATTTGCTTTGTGCTCAAATGTCACCCTGCCAGAATTCATTACATCTTGTTTATTAATTAATTAAAATATATTTATACAGAACAGGCTTTATGAGATGGAGTAAAAAATAACGTTATGAGAGGCATCCTCCAGACAGTATGGCTTGTCTCTGATGGAAAGCAGGGATGCAACTCCAGCATTCTCTGCCAATGCCACTGTGAGCTTCAGATGTTGGGATCACTTAGTAATTAAGGCTGGGAAATCAGAGGAATTACTGTAAATCTGGAGCTGGAAATGAGATACATGTGCCTTTTCTAGATAACTATAAATTTAAATACCACACAATATTTTGATAAGCAAAAATACATCCCTGTGTGACACACCCATATCTTCTCCCTCCACAGAAAGACATTGAGGGGTCCAATGGAGAAAAGGAGGAAGTCAAGAACACTGAAAACTCAGGGAACGCTTTCTGGCCTTCTGCTGGCACCAGTAGACTGGATGCCTCTGTTAACCTTTTGTCAACATTTTCCTTTCTCTCAGGCCAGTTACACTAGATCATTGACTTTACCCTCCTTTTATTGTTGGGGAAGTCCTGTTATTTGCCTGTTATTTGTCAATAAAGTACTGTTGAGCCTATAGAAATCTAGATAGGTGGGGCTAGGAGTCCAGGAGGATTCTGGGAAGGAGAAAAACACAAGAGAGTCAACATGTAACGCCATGGGGGTAGGAAGCCTGGAACTATTCTCCGGTAAGAAACATACTTAGATTAACAATTATGGGGTAATTACTTAAGTCAGAGCTAGCTAATAAGAAACAAGCAAGGCTAACAGCTTCATAATTAATACAGTGTCTTGTGTGTTATTTGGGGGCTACAATGCGGCAGAGCCCAGGTGGCTGGCGGGGGATAAACCAAAGCGGCTAGCAAAGAAAAAGCTTCTCGTAACATTTTATAGTTTAGAATTTAAATATTTCCCAAGTTCCATGTGCATAGTCCTGTGGCTATTGGAGGGTAGTGGGACCTGGGTTTAATTCCCAGTATGAAAAGGCAATTGCAGAAAAACCAGTTTGCCTCCAAAGTTGTGTGCCTGGAACCTAATTTTGAGTTTACAAAGGCTTGTATTAACAAATCAAGGTCTTGACTGCTGAAGTCAGGAGTATATCTATTAGTTTTTCACATGATCACATTACCCTGAAGACATTTAAGGTGTCTGTAACAGAGCTTACTAAGTAAGAAATACATAAAGCATGTGTGTGGATCCTTGTATATGATGTATACATATGTTCACATATCTATTACACACATCTGGTCATATGCAATTCATATACATGTAATATGAGAAATTCTTTTTTTTAGCTTTTTTTAATTTTAATTTTAAATAGCTTGTTTTACATGTCAATCCCAGTTCCCTCTCCCTCCCCTCCTCCCTCCCTCCCCTTCCACCCTCCCTCCCACCCTATTGCCAAATCCTTCCACATAGGGGATGTCTAGAGTCTATCATTTTACTCTTGGTAGGGTCAAGGCACTCCCCTAAGAGTCCAGGCTGAGAGAGCATCTCTCTTTGTGCTATAGGCACATGAAGACAGATTGTATACCAGGGATAGACACTGATCCACAGCTCAGAGCCCCATAGGTTGTCCAGGCCTTCTCACTGACACTCACATTTGGGGGGTCCAGATCAGTCCCATTCTGGCCTCCCCACTGTCGGTCTGGGGTCCAAGAGCACTCCCCTGTTCAGATCAGCTGTCTCTGCTGGTTTTGCCAGCCCATTCTTTGCCAATTTGCTCATCATTCCTCTCTCTCTGTCTCTGGGTTCCTTGGGTTCAGTTCAGTGCTTAGTTGTGTGTTTGCCTCTGCTTCCATCAGTCCCAGGATGAAGGCTCCCGGATAGTTATAGACATCAAGTTCATTATCAGGAATGGGCATTCGAGGTGGTCCTTCCACTATTGCTTAGCTTGCCAATTGATGTTATACCTTTAGATCACTCGAGGTCACTCTGGTGCCTGATCTGTCTTCGATCCTATGATTCCCTCTTCCCCCTATTCTACTCCCACCCCCTCAACTTCCTGTTCCCCCATGACCAACTCCCTTCCTCTTTACCCCCTCTATTCTTCCCAGGTCCCACTACCCCCCTCGCCCTGTTCCCCATCCATTCAGAGGATCTTGTCTCCATCCTCTTCTCTTGGGTACTATGCATATATGCATATCATTTAGGTTCTTTCCTGTTTCCCAGACTCTCTATCTGTGGAAGTGCAGACTGGCACTATCCTGATCCATATCTAAAATCCATATATGAGTGAGTACATACCATGTTTGTCTTTTTGCGACTGGGTTACCTCACTCAGGATGGTTTCTTCCAGTGCTATCCATTTCCCTGCGAATTTCAAGATTCCATTGTTTTTTTCTGCTGAGTAATACTCCATTGTGTAAATTTACCACATTTTCTCTATCCACTCTTCAGTTGAGGGGCATCTAGGTTGCTTCCAGGTTCTGGCTATTACAAACAATGCTGCTATGAACATAGTGGAGCAGATGCCCTTGTTGTATGAACCTGCCTCATTTGGATAAATGCCTAAAAGTGGAATTGCTGGGTCTAGTGGTAGATTAATTCCCATTTTCCTGAGGAATCTCCATACTGATTTCCAAAGAGGCTGTATGAGTTGGCATTCCCACCAGCAGTGGAGGAGTGTTCCTCTCTCTCCACATCCCCTCCAGCATAAATTGTCTTCGGTGTTTTTGATTCAAGCCATTCTGACAGGAGTAAGATGGTATCTCAGAGTTGTTTTGATTTGCATTTCCCTGATGGCTAAGGATGTTGAGCACTTTCTTAAGTGTCTCTTGGCCATTTTAGCCTCCTCTACTGAGAATTCTCTATTTAGCTCTGAACCCCACCTTTCAAGTGGATCCTTTGGTGTTTTGGAGACTTGTTTCTTGAGTTCTTTGTAAATTTTGGAGATTAGCCCTCTGTCAGATGTAGGGTTAGTGAATATCTTTTCCCATTCTGTGGCCTGCCTTTTTGTCTTTTTGATTGTGTCCTTTGCCTTACAGAAGCTTTTTAGTTTCAGAAGGTCCCATTTGTTAATTGTTGATCTCAGTGCCTGTGCCACTGGTGTTATGTTTAGGAAGTGGTCTCCTGTACCAACTCGTTGAAGAGTATCTCCCACTTTCTCTTCTAAAAGTTTCAGTGTGGCTGGATGTATGTTGAGATCTTTGATCCATTTGGACTTAAGTTTTGTACAAGGCGATAAACATGGATCTATCTGCAGTCTTCTGCATACCACTACCCAGTTATGCCAGCACCATTTGTTGAAGATGCTTTCTTTTTTCCACTGTACAGTTTTAGCTTCTTTGTCAAAAATCAGGTGTTCATAGGTGTGTGGGTTAAAATTAGGGCTTTCGATTTGGTTCCATTGGTCTACCTGCCTATTTTTGTGCCAATACCAAGCTGTTTTCAGGACTATAGCTCTATAATAGAGCTTGAAGTCAGGTATGGTGATGCCTCCTGAAGTTCCTTTATTGTATAGGGATGTTTTGGCTATCCTGGGCCTTTTGTTTTTCCATATAAAGTTGCTTAATGTTCTTTCCAGGTCCTTGAAAAATTGTGATGGAATTTTGATAGGGATTGCATTGAATCTATAGACTGCTTTTGGCAAGATTGCCATTTTTATTATGTTGATCCTACCAATCCAAGAGCATGG